AGCACCGGCACCAACACGCTCAGCATAGTTGTCTTTGTGCAACAGACGATGGATACGACCGACGGGGAATTGAAGACCAGCACAACTGCGGAATGCCCCCCAACTGTGAAAAGTGCAGCGAAGGACATCCGACCCACCTGTGTCCCACGTTTGGAGAGGACAAGGAGACGGACGCAGTACCCAAATGCGTCAACTGCAAAGTGGAAGGCCATTCTGCAGGTTCCCCTTCCTGCCCGAAACGGAAGGCAATTTTGGCCACTCGGACCCAGAGGAAGCTGGAAGCCGAGTCCAAACAAAAAGCCAGGTCTGGCCGCATCGCTGATGAGAAGGCCAAGCTGACTTATGCTGGTGTTGCGGGAGGAAAATCTGGACAGCCCCAGAAACCCACCCGGCCATCTACCACCCCCAAATCTCCTGCTGCCGCCGCTCGCCCATCCGGACCCACCCAAGACATTGGAGGACTGATGAGCAGCATGCCCAAGGACTTCGGAGACCTATCGACATTAGCCAAGGTTAGGTCGTTCGGTCCCAGTTTTAGGCGTATCCGCGAAGAAAGGGGAGACGCGGAAGCTTAGTGGGCCCTAATGGTCCATATAGCCTTAGAATAGGTATGTTGAAGTGCGTTTTTCTAAGCGTCAGCTCCATAGTTTCTAAAACTAGGAGGCACTTCTTGCGGAATTTTGTCCTAGAGCATCAGCCGGACATTATTCTGCTGGCAGAAACTTGGCTCTCTCCCAGCCAAAAGTTTTACTGCCAAGGATTTAAAATCTATAGGCAGGATAGACTGACAGGCCCAAGAGGGGGCACTGCAGTCTTAGTAAAAGATAGGTTTCGCTCAGAAAAAATCCCCATTTCCTCAGGAGATATAGAATCTTGTGTCGCTAGGGTTTGGAGGGAAGATGGGTCCTCCATAGCCTTCGCTTCTGTTTACCAGCGCCCTGTTGGTCCCTTCCAAATTTTGGATCTGGACCCCATACTCGCTTTACGCGACAGTGGCGACCTTGTAGTTGGTGGAGACCTGAACGCGAAACATCCCTTATGGGGTGGTGCAGAGGTCGACACCAGGGGAAGAGCAATCTCTGCCTTCCTCCTCGATTGTCCGGATGTAGCAGCCATTCCATCTGATAGGCCCACTAGGCCCAATGGAACGGCAGGGTCGTATATCGACTTCTTCCTGCATACGCCAGGCGTAGCACTGACAGCGGGTAGATCGACCTCAACGACCCACTACTTTGAATCCGACCATAGGGCGATTCTCATAGAAATAGAGTCAGGCTCCTTACAAAATGGAGAAGTCAGGTCGTTTCACAACTTCGACCGGATGAATATCCGTCGATATAGGCAGCGCTTGCGCAGCGGCTTGGAGGAGGTAACTCTGCCAGCCGACCGCAACGTATCCATTTCGGATATTGATAGCTGCATTGAGGATTTAGGCTCCGCCTTCCGAGATGCCATAGACGCTTCAGTGCCCAAATATAGGGCAAGAACTTCTATCCTGGGCAATCTCCCTCCTAGGATCGCAAGCTTTATTAGGGAACGTAGACTGTCGAGTGTTGCGTAGATCTGGTGATCCTGAGCAACGACTAGTCCTCACGGCCGATATCCGCAACCTCGACCAGATTATAGAAGCCAATATTCGCCTATTCGAAAACGAAAGGTATAAAGGCTTTCTCGAGGGAATTAGGGTCAATTCCAAGACCTATGGCAAGGTCAAGCGAATGACTGGCCTTGCCTCTCGAGATCCAGTCAGTCCCCTTGTAGACTCCTCTGGTGTTAGGATCAGATCGGATGAACTTAGGGCAGAGATGTTGGCGGACCAGGTGCAGGGAACGCTTCGACATGAGGGAGCTTCGATCGACGATCCTTTTCAGCGTCAAGTCAACTTGGCGGTGGAAGGGATTAGAGACCATTCTCCTATTGTGTCGTTTAGCAGTTCATTCACTGCTAATGGCTCCTCTGTGGACAACTTCTCTCTTTGGGAAGACGGCGGGTTTGTCTATCCCAGGAAGGTTGGTTTCGCGCTTTCACGCCAACCAGCCCGTAAAGCCTGCGGTATGGACAAATTCCCGATGTAGCTTTGAAAAGGGCAGGAAATGTAATTCTGTCCTTTTTGACAATTCTCTTTAATCATTGTCTGAATTTAGGGTACTTTCCTACGGCTTGGAAGGAGGCCAAGATGGTTCCCATTCTGAAACGGGGTTCTGATCCCTCTCAGTGTTGCAACTACAGGCCTATTTCCCTTCTATCGCCGTTTGGAATCTGGCAAAGATTAGAAGAACCGCAGAAGATAGGAGAATTCTGCGGGATTGTCAGTTCGGTTTTAGGTCTGGTCTCTCTACGACCCATGCCTTAACGGCTTTCAGCAACTTTGTTGGAAAAGGTTTCGACAGGAAGTACGGAACTATAGCCGTCTCCTTAGATATTGCCAGGGCTTTTGACTCTGTCTGGCACGACGGAATTTTGTATAAATTCCAGTCGTTTGGCTTTGACAGCCAGTCCTGTAAAATGGTCGCTAGCTTCCTTAGGGATCGATTCTTCAGGATTAAGGTGGGTGAGCGACTCTCTAGTCGCCGCCCTGTGTTGGCAGGGGTTCCTCAAGGTTCCCTTCTTGGCCCGATGTTGTACAACATCTTTTCCTCTGACATCCCGGCTCCCCCCTCTGGTGGTCTTCTCCTGACCTATGCCGATGATGTCTTATTAGCCTTTTCCGGTCCGCTTGCTACGTCGGTCAATAGGCGCGTTAACGAGTACCTAGATGCCCTCCATCGGTACTTCGTTACATGGCGCCTAAAGTTGAATGTAGGGAAATATTGTGCTACGGCCTTCCTCGGTCGGCCAGGCATAGTTTACCCTAATTTTAGGAGGTTTCAGCCGGTTCTGAAAATAGGTTCGGAGCAGGTTCCTGTTTCAGACAAGATGAAATACTTAGGGGTAGTATTTCATGAGAGGTTCGACTTGGCTAGGGCTAAGGGTCTATATTTCGGATATAGTCGAATCTTAGGTATGAGGGGTGGTCTTTCCCACGATGTTAGGCTTCTGATCTACCGGCAGGTGATCAGACCTATCGTCGCCTACGCCTTCCCCGTCTGGTTTGACATTTCGTCTCACCAGATGGAAAGGCTGGGCCCCATCCTTAGGGCAGATGGCTCCTATAGACCCTATTCCTGTAGGGCGATCTACGATAGGGCGAAAATAGACAGGATAAATGTCTTCATGATGAAGACTGGACTAGCATTTTTAGACAAATGCCAGTTTTTAGATAATAGCATCGTTGAGGGAATGATTAGGTGCTTTGAGGATGCGGACCAGCTTCGAGCTCGGAAGCATTTGCCTCCTGCGGCCCTTGCCAGGCTGAACGAGCTGGGCCTGCTCTTTGGGGATGAGGGTCTTCTATTCTTTCATAGGAGATTTTTAGACCCGGTTTGGAGTAAACTGGTGTATAACACTGCCCAGCTCACTTAAGTTAGATTAAGTTAGTTTAATTAGTTATAAGCGTATTGTAAATATTTAATTTTAATTTTTATTATCTAGTTCGTAAGTTTCCCTCAGCCCTTTTTTTGTATGATTCTACTTTTCGGGGCATAATTTAAGTAGTAGCCTTAAGGCTTAATGTAGCAAGTTGTGTACACAAACATGTTGTGGCACTTTTAGTTAATGTAAAGTAGGCGTTGTACAAATGCATGTTTATTTATCGTATAGCTAAGTTTAAGCCATTTTACCTATGTTAGTAGTAAGTTTTTGAATTAATAAAACGGTCATAGGCTAAAACTGAAACTGAAACCGTTTTGGTTATCATTTGTGAACAGTGTTAAAAGTGTTTGTGTGATTCAAAAAAAAAATAATAAGTGAAAATGCCTCCTAAAACCAGTGGTAAAGGACCGGTATCTCCTCCAAGGCCATGAGCATGATGAACAGTTTCGTCAACGATATCTTCGAACGTATTGCCGCCGAAGCCTCTCGTTTGGCCCACTACAACAAGCGCTCGACCATCACCAGTCGGGAAATCCAGACCGCCGTCCGTCTATTGTTGCCCGGTGAATTGGCTAAGCACGCCGTCAGTGAAGGTACCAAGGCTGTTACTAAATACACCAGCTCCAAGTAAATGTCTTGATATTTTTCATTTTGCGTCGAAATACTACCTTAAAAGGCCCTTTTCAGGGCCACAAAAAACATTTCAAAAGAGATCATATTTTGTTGAAGCTACAATTTATCATTATTTAGTAATAAACGAATAAAATTCCATAACAAATATATTTTTCTCTATACAATGATTTTTTCCATGCATTTAGCTAACTCGCATATGTACCTCTGTTTAGCCTTTGCATGTTTGCTTGGGTTCTATGCTTGCTTGTGCGATATGCTATAACAGCCATCTTCGTCGTATATGTGTGCGTGTGTTAGTGGTGATTTGCCTTGCCGTCGTTGATCAACATCGAATGGGCATCCTGTATGTGTGAGCATTTTGTTACAGCACAACGGCAAAGCAACGAAATATAAGGCTGAGGCAGAAATTTTCAAAGGAAAAAATATATTGATGGTAAATGTAAATATTTTGCCAAAATGTCATTTTTAGATGAAATTTGTGAAATTAAACAGAGAATACGAAAATATCAAAATTTTTAAAATTAAGTAGAAATTATAAAAATGACCAAATTATGGGGATTTTCGAGAATTATGACCTGTGGGTAATTAGGAAAAATTTTAAATATTTTATTATCTTTTATGACCTGGGTTAAAAAATAATCCAGTGGCGTCCACCATTATATTGGCTCAATAAAATTACCTAATAAGAACAGTAATTAGCGAAAGTAATTTTTTTCCCAAAATTAAACACGTGTACAAATTTACTTATTTATTTAGGTAACAAATATATACGACAACTGTTGAAAATAAATATTTTTCTCTTTTTTAATTTAATTTGTAGCCCTGAAAAGGGCTGTTAGATAGCATGTTTTCGAATATCGAAAATATTGTGGAAAAAGTAATCTTTCTGGGAAAAATTACTTCTTGGCGGCGGCTTTCTTAGTAGCTGGCTTCTTTGCTGCTGCGGCCTTTTTGGGCTTAGCAGCTGCAGTTTTTGCCTTGGGTGCCTTTGGTTTAGTGGCAGATGCTTTGGCGGCGGTCTTTGCTGGTTTAACTTTAACTGTACCGGTTTTCTTGGCAGCCTTTGCATTTGTTTTGTCGGCCTTCTTCTTTTCAGCGGTCTTCTTGGCGGCAGAGGGTTTTTTGGCAGCTGCCTTCTTCTCACCAGCGGCATTTTTAGGGGCGGCAGCCTTCTTCTTTTTGTCACCAGCGGCTGGGGCCTTCTTCTTCTTTTCGGCAGTCTTGGCTTTGGGTTTCTTGGAGGCCGAAGCAGACAATTTGAATGAACCAGAAGCACCCTTACCTTTAGTTTGGATCAATTTTCCACTGGCAACGGCACCTTTCAAGTACTTCTTGATGAAGGGGGCCAATTTTTGGGCATCTACTTTGTAGGTGCTGGCCAAGTATTTCTTGATGGCGGGCAATGATGAACCTCCACGTTCCTTCAGGGTCTTGATGGCGGCATCAACCATTTGCCGGGTTGGAGGGTGGGTAGGGGCAGCTGATGGCTTCTTTGCTTTGGCAGCGGCTTTTTTTGGTGCATTTTTTCTCAACAGCGGCAACTGGGGAGGCGGTGGCTTCAACAACGGCGGCGTCAGGCATGGTTATTCACTGTTTGGTTTATATTTCACTGTTAACACAAATACACTCACAAATTTATGTGTACTATTATTTTTGTTAGCAGCGAGCTAAAGTGTAGGTACATCGAAAAGATGAGATGTGCATAGTAGTCAATTGGTAAATTTTTGGAAAGATTGTGTGGAAGCGTGTTTAATTTTTTACAAAAGTTTTCGGAGAAATTAAATTTTCCTGAAGAAGCTTTGATAATTTTCACTAAAAATGTTTTATACCTTTGGCTATGTTTTAAAGAAAGTTTGGTGTAATTATCACTTGCCGTTTGTGAATTATAAACGTTTAACTTGGCAAATTATAAAAATGTAATCACAAATTTCCAACTAAAATTTAAAAAAATCGAATTTTTCATGAAAATTTAATTGAAAATTCTTTTTGAAAATGTAGCCTGATATGTTTACTTTACGATCAAAGAAAAATATCGATGAAATTTCATATTTTACTATGTGAAAAAATTGAAATTATTATGTGGTCTATGACAGCAGAAATCCTCTTGTTGGCATAATTTCAATGAAGAAAAGTTTTTCTTGAAATAAATTTGAAAGCTCAAATCTTAATAAGTTTTATAAAAATTTCTTAAAAAACATTTCAGAATTTGTATATTTACATCAAAATATAACATTATTCACAAAAAGTCATAATTTACGGGGAAAAGTTACAAAATCCCCAGAATACTTCATACTACCAATGTACAGGCATTCAGTGACAAACGGTTATGTATTTTCATTTTGCAATATTTTTAATGAAATTTAACATAATTTGTTCTAAAATTGTTTAAAAATAGTATTAGAAGCCATTTTCTACGTTATTTTGTCAAATTTTTGTTAATTTTATGAAAAAATATTCCCAAAAAGAAATTCCTCTTTACAGGCAAATATCACCTAGTACACTTGGAAATGTCATGAAATTAATTGCGTTTTACAAAATTGTTTTTCGATCAACTTTGAGGGCAGATATTATTGGCATTTCTTTTTATAATACTTTAAATTATATTTTACATCAAAATTCTCAACAAATCAATTATTTTCTTCTTCGATTTTTGAAAATAATAAATTATGACCAATTTCTCTAAATACATCGGACAAAAATAATTGTGTGATTCCATACGGAGAAAATTCATAAACAAATCTCTTAAAATGCTTTTAAAACATTTAAAAATTTTGCTGAAAAGGAATAAAACATATTTCATACATCATTCCTGAAAAAAAATTAAATAGGAGGGGCAAAAATTTAGCTGGAAATTTTTAAAATTCACATGAAATAATTCGTATAAATTAAAGGCAGAGAATTTTTTCCCACTAAATTGAATAGTCCACAACAGAAAAAAAATGATCTAAGGGGCATAAAATAAAACAAAATGGACAAAGAAATCCCGTTAGAAAAATATATGTGGTGGTTGTTTTTATGAGTCATAAAATTTTTTTCGAAGAGGGAGTACAAAAATGATAATAATTTTGCAAATTAAAGGAAAATATCAAAATGGATAATTCAAAAAATTCAAATAAAATTAAAAAAAATAAATAAAATATTCGATCAAAATAAAATAAAAAAATAAAGTGACGAAAAATAATCAAGGAAAAAAAACCAACATCAAAAAAATACTTCTTTATTTTAAAAATTTTCAAAAATAATCAAAGCCCTAAATTCTTTTTATTTATTTCAAAAAAATACTAAAAATTGTAGATTGAGTAAAAAAATATCTCTTTTTTAACGTCAAGAATTTAAGCACGTTCTCCACGAATAGGTCTGGCCAATTGGATATCCTTAGGCATGATGGCGACACGCTTAGCATGGATGGCGCACAAGTTAGTATCTTCGAAAAGACCAACCAAGTAGGCTTCGGTGTAGGCAGGACGGAAACGATGAGGCTTCTTAACACCGCCGGTGGCTGGGGCACTCTTACGGGCAGCTTTGGTGGCTAGTTGTTTAAGGGGAGCCTTTCCACCGGTCGATTTACGGGCAGTTTGCTTAGTACGAGCCATTTTTCACTTCATTAGAGATATGCACACAAACACTGTTAACACTGTAATAACGTTGCCATCGCATTTTTTCGCTTTTAACATAGCCATTTTTTATTGAGAGAAACTTAAAGATAAACAGAATGACTTACTGATAAAGTACTATAACTAAACATGTGGCTTTGCGCTAACTTCTTAAAAATAAGTATTATTAGTTTATGCTGCGGATTACCGCGAGCGAAAAACTTAATAGAACATTTAATTCAATAATTTGAATGATGCATTTTTAAGCCTCCAAAAAAAAAAAAATAAATAAAAAGGGCAAAGTATATATATATATATATATATATATGTATCTTAAAACTAGAGATTACTACTAAGAACTAAAACTAAACTAAAACAAAACTTAACCTACTATTTACAAATATGTACAATACGGTAAACAATCACTGCGTGGTGATGTAGACAGTGTTGTTGATGTCCATGGTGCTGTACCTTCTGTGGTAAAAGACGAGTTTTCCCTCATTATTAAAGAGGAGATCTTCGTCCCCTAGTTTAGAAAGCGCAACAGGTGGCAGATGTTTCCTTGTTCTTAAGGAACTTGAGTCGAATTGGTATTGCAGGGATCCTGTGACCAGTTCATTTGGCACATTCTGTGCTGTCTCCAGGAAATTTAATGCACCTCTTACGAGAAAACGATCAATTCTTTCAATATTTGCTGTATCGTACGTTACCCTACATGAAGGCGATCTGACTGATCCATCGCTCCTGCACGTGGTTCTTAGTCCCAGGCAATAGGTTAAGATGGATCTTTCCCATCTTCTCAATCTGTCCATCTGATTGGAAGATATCAGAAACCACACAGGGAATGCATAAGAAATAATTGGACGAATTATTTGCTTGTAAATCAAGAGTTTTACCTGAGTTGATAGACCACCGCTATGGCGTAATATGCCATGATAGCCAAAATAAATTTTTTTAGCCCTTTCTAAGATAAAATCTACATGCCTAATAAATTCTAATTTTTCATCGAACATTACACCCAGGTACTTTAACCTGTCACACACAGGTATGGTTCCTCCTGCTATTGTTAGGACTGGTTTAAAGGATCTAAAGTTAGGATACACTACTCTAGACTTTCCTTTAAAAACGACGGCTGTACATTTGCCCACATTCAGCTTGAGGCCCCACTTAGAGAAGTATCTATGTAGTTCCTCAAGATGCATGTTAATTCGGGATGTAAGTGTACTAGCCCTCGGCCCAGACATTGCCAAGATGACGTCATCGGCATATAGGAGTTGCAAACCGCCTGTGGGGGGTTCAGGCATATCACTGACAAAAATATTATAAAGGATCGGGCCCAAAAGGGAACCCTGGGGTACTCCTGCCAGGACAGTTCTCTCGTTTGAGAGACTTTCCCCTACCTTGACCCTAAAGATTCTATCCCTTAGAAAGCTGGCTATCAATCTACATGTTTGGTGGTCAAACCCTAATTGTTTCATCTTGTAGAGAATGCCGTTGTGCCAAACGGAGTCAAACGCTTTGGCAAAATCGAGTCCTATGGCAATGGTTCCATGTCTCTGATCAAGCCTTTTAACAACAAAAGAAGCAAATACCGTCAGAGCATGTGAGGTCGAGTGGCCTATACGAAAGCCAAATTGGCTATTTTTAAGGATCCTTTTGTCTTCAACAATGGTTCTAATCCTTTTCAATATGAATGACTCATAGAGCTTTCCAAAGGCAGATAGCAATGAAATGGGTCTATAGCTTCCACATCTATTCAGAGGGGATCCCTTCTTATGAATTGGGACTATCATAGCTCTTTTCCAGGCCTTCGGGAAGTAGCCTAGATTTAAGCAGTGGTTAAAAAGTATAGATAGAAATACAAAAATGACATTACCAGCTTTTTTCAAAGCGATGTCTGGGATTCTGTCTAGTCCACATGACTTTTTTGCCGGTCTACATGCAAGAGCATTTTGTATTCCGCTTGGGCTTATGAAGCCGGCTTCCTCCCAATTGGAGGGCCTGTCAATTGAGGTACCGTCTGCAGTAAACGTAGAGCAAAACGTAACCATAGGGCCCAAATCATCCATGTCCTCCGCAACCCGATTAACAGAGCTTCGGAAGTCATAATCTATTGGTCCATTCACTGGTCTAAGCCCACTTTGCAGATAATCCGCAATTTCTTCGGATTTCAAAGTATCTGTTACGATTAGCTCACCATTTCCATCCAGTAAGTCGCCAATAGGATCCCTGTAAGTAAGTCCAGCGGCGGCCTTAACTTGTCCAAAGGTTCAATTATCTATTTTAATTCCTTCTAAGAGGCCTTGATAACGCTCCTGCTCGAATATTCGGATTGAGTCCTCTATAATACGGTCTAAGTTACGTATGTCAGCCCTAAGTGTCGAAAATCTGGATGGGTCATTGGATCTACGTAGGGTTCTAGAGATTCTACGGCGTTCTTGAATAAAACCAAGTATTCTAGGGGGAAGATTTCCTAGGGCCAAATGCTTACTTCTTTGCTTCGGGACAGAGACCTCTATGGCGTTCTTAAAAATCGTTTCCAGATTGCAAACAGTTCTGTCAATCTGTTCGACGGGGACATTTGTATCAGCAGGGAGAGAAATGTCAGTAAGACCCTGATTTATTTCTCTCCTGAAACGATTAATATTCATCTTGTTAAAGTTTCGATACAAGTTTGGTTCCCCAGTGAGGAAACCACCCAACCAAAGAATGACCTCTATCGCCCTATGGTCCGATTCAAAATCATAGGTTGACACGGTTCTGTTACCGCCCACCATTGGCAGACCTGGGGTGCGCAGAAACACATCAATAAAGGATCCGCCTGAGTCATTTGGCCTTGTGGGACAGTCAGCTGAGAAAATCTCGAAATTAGGACAATCTATCAAATACGAGGCTAATGCCCTACCCTAGCGTCAGTTTCAGAACCGCCCCAAGATGGATGTTTGGCATTTAGGTCACCTGCTATTAGAACTTCACCATTCTGATACAAATCGATTAAAGGCTGAAGATCGGACGGTACAAAGTTTACATTCGGGGGACAATAGGTTGTCGCAAAGATTACTGCGGTACCATTATCTCTCAACATTTTGACGACGCACGATTCTACCACACCTGTTTTAATTGAGATACGTTCACAATTGAATTTTTCTCGGATTAGAACTGCGGTTCCACCACCGCCTCCGCCTTCTCTATGTTGAATAAAACTTTTAAACCTCTCTAAGCTGAATTTATGGGAGGTCCTAAGTTTATGCTCTGCAATAAGTATAACGTCAGGGTTGCGTGTCTTCATATAATTTTTTAAGAAGTGTCTTTTGTTAAAGAGACTATCGAGTTGACGTTTATAAATGCTACTTTAAAATTGGACATCGCTAGCAACAAACAATAGCCATGCTGACATTGCGGCATCTAGTCCTGCTTTGGCTCGGATCTCCTGGAATATGGGGCCAAATGTTTTTGCCTTCTCGCATTTTTGGTTAAAATCGGATCCAAAAAATTGGACGATATTACCAGCATTTGTTCCCAAATTTTGTTTAGAGGAAACATTCTGTGCTGGACGACTTGTGCGTGAAGTACTCTTATTAGCGGTGGCAGTACCCATGACCGCAGCAAAGGAGACACCTTCACGGATATCAGCTAGCCTTTGGATTTGATTTGCGACCTAGCTTGAGCCACAGCCTTAGATTTTTCCTTTCTAGCCAAAATCGCCAGTCGACGAGGACAATCCCGAGCAGATGCCGGGTGACCAACTAGCCCACAATTGGCACACTTACATGGTATTGCAGGTTTCGATACAGTTCCCCCTGTAATGGGGTCTGTAGATTCAATGAATGTTTCCTGTTCTTTTGGGGGAACAGGGCATTTACTTTTATCGTGGTTGTCGCCACATTTAACACAGACAGATGTGATGTTGCAATTCATTGACACATGTCCGGGCTTCTGGCAGTTAAAACAACGAACATATGTAATGCCTTTGTCCTTAGTAATTTTAATATTACAGTCCAGAATACAGCGTAGGTTATACAAACTATTGATGTCTGATTGTTTGGTAACTCGGAGCAACCATTTCTTGTCAGTTATACTAACGAGACCTACTACTTCTACTTTGAGAGGAAGTTTTTGCTCGAGGAAGTCCTTCACCTCTGTGTTTAAATAATCTTTAGGAAGATTATTTATCACCAATTTATAGGGTAATAAGAACCTAGGCGTATGGGTATGATATTTATACCCACGGTCTGAAAGTAATTGTTTCACTTTCTCGTACATTTGGAGGCCCTTCACCTTGAGAGACAACACAGACGGACGCAAATATGTTATAGTGAACTCACCTGTATGGTAATGCTGGTTGAGGATCCCTGCAAGTTCCCTGACATTAACACCGTGTATCGTAAACGCTAGCATCACTTTGGCAGTGGATGGTTTACTGGAGGGGGGCATCTTATTCATCGCTTCTTTCGTCGCTTCCTTCGTCGTTGGTTTCTTCTGGCTCGCCTTATCTGACACGGCAGGATACTCTGCAGCCGCTTTCGTCTTTGGGATAACACCTTTAGTAATTTCCATCGGTGTAGAATTCTTTGGAATTTCATCTGTTTTCGCCATGCCGATCATCCATTGGAGGAGGATTGGCTTTTTCCTGCACTGGCAGTGTGTCAGAAACATCCATTGATTGCATTGATGAAGTGGGAGGGTTATGATGTTTAACTCCCATTTGCTTGTCTAACTTCCTCTGCAGATCAGCAATGGTCCTATGAAAGGCCATTTCACGACCATGTGCTAGAGATAATTTAAGCACAGTCTCTTCCTGGGTCTTAATGACGGCGTCCAATTTTGTCATTAGAGAGCGGTTTTCTACTTGTGCTCTAGCCAGATCTTTTGTTAGTTGCTGAACCAATGCGTTAAGCTTCGCAGATTCGAAGTTAGGATAGCTGTTGCTATTACTATTGCAGCGTTTCTTCTTCCTTTTCCTGTACCTATCAGATATCACAACATGATAGCCACCACTAGTTGTGCCATTGTCGGAGATTTCAGCAAATTCACCTTTGTCATGAATAGCAGATACATC